TTTTAAAATAGCAGCTATTTCCAATTGTTGGCTGTGAAAGAATACAGGTTTAATCACTCTTTAATGGGCCACTCTCTCCTACCTTCTTTGCACAATGAAGACCGGAAAATAGCAAATATAAAAGCTATTTAGGATACTAATTAAAACTACAAGGGACAGCAACTCATAACACATTCCAATGTTTTAAGATAATGCCTCAATACTTCTACAACAACAACAACAACAACAAAAGGGAGACAGAGATTCAAGCATGCAAAACAGATAGAATGAAGTCTGCCTTTATTTCTATTAAAAAAAAAAAAAAAATACCACTACCTCTTACATCCATAGCAAGACCAGCAGCCAGCACTTGGAAACACTGACACTGGACCATACACATACTGAAAACAGACGTGACAAAAATCAAGATGGCCATCCTTCATGTATGAACATTAAGATTTTCACTAGAAGATACTATGGGAACCTAAAAAGGGATAGGATTTCTGGTGATAAAAGATTATTTGGGCAAATCAACAAAGATTTGTGCATCTGAATTAACAAATAACCTCAAAAATAAACAAATTGTAGAGAGGAGGAGAACCACTCTGAAAAATCAAGCTATAAAAATACACCAAAAATAGGGGAGGCTTTGAATGATAATGCTTGCCTGTTACCAAAAAAATAGCTTAAAGCCTTTGATTTCCAGATGAATAGCTAAGAAAATCAGATGCTCTTGTTTACAAGGAATTAGAGATTTGAACTGGGATATGCCACAGAATTTATATTAACAGTTCAGACTGGATGATTGCAATTGTTCTCCTGAGCCCCAGGGTCACATTTTGAACGTTATTCAGAATGTGAATGAGACTCAGTCTCTCTTATTTGAATAAAACTGGTACTAAATGGCAGAATATTTAAGGATGTTGATATGGCAACCTTTTTCATTCAATACATGTAACTGGGTAACATTTCTTCCTCCTTTGTAGGAAGCAATGCCGATGTTCCCTCCTAGGCTAGTACCAAAATGGATAAAGTAGCCTTAGATAGGGAGAAGGGGAAATGGAAAAGTAAAAACAAACATCCCCAAAACTACTGGACTCTAAATTATTTTTAATATTGATATAGAAGTTTTAGTTTTTTTGATAGTAATTCTAGTGCTAACTCTAAATATTACCCAAGTCAGTGTTGCTTACAATGCCGCTTACAACATTCGGCCTGCCCAAATTTCTTTCTTTTGCCAATTCAGCCCTGAAATCCCAGTGAACTAAGACAATATTTCTGTTCCAGATTTTCATTTGGATAAAGCAACCTGTCCCATT